TTTAATAAATCCCCCAGTAATTCTTATTAAAAAAAAAATATAAGTTTTGGCAATTTACACCAAGTGAAAGGTAATGCTATTCTCATTGGAAAATTATCTTTGTTTTAATAATAAAGCTCTCAATAAAAGTTAGACAAAGTATTTTATATTTGTGATTTATGGAATCAAAAGAGGAATTGCTGCATCTTTGTTTTAATCTACCAAAAAAATCCTGGCATACAGGACAAGTACTAGCCTTTTGCAATCCAAACTATGTAACATTCTCAGGATGACTGAGTTTCATAGGATTTTTAGAATAGATTTCGTGGGGAGGTTTTAATCACGTTGTAAGAGAATCACTACACTGGAACACAGAGGAAGAGCAAGAATCTGTGAGTATACCTCAGCATATTGATTTTGGTTTTTTCCAGAGTAAGACGTTGTGGTTCCTGAGGTAAATTATTACACCTTTGAGTTTATGTACAAAACTGATGGATAATTCATTGGTTTCAGTTTAGATAACTGATACATTACTTTGACAAATGGCCAAACCCTTCTGGAATTATCTCGGTACCCATTTGAAATGTGGCTCCCACTCAGCCATTTGTACTGTACAGTCTCAAAAGTGCATCCTGATTTTGTAGAAATGAGGTCACTTATTTGTAACACGTGTTTGAGATGTCCTCTCTGTCATACCATAAGGAATTCTGATCAGACTGTGTATCACTCTGGCACTGTATGCTACATAACTGAAAAGCTTCACCTGCTCAAGTTCCCGGTTTCCTAGACTTTTCTTCATGCTTTTCAATATAAAATGCAGTTTTAAGTACACTTACTCTCTAATCAGTCTGCACAGTCTTGCATTACTGTAATAATAATGATAATTTTACATTACAGACATCTGTATGTTCTTTATCTGCAAAAGAAATTAAAGATCAGCATATTCCGCAGGATTCAAGGCACCCATTCCTTAGACATCTACACAACAGCCCAACCTGGGAGCGGGAAGCACAGTGACACCACCTCTTCCCAAACTTCTCTATTAGTGCAAGGACAGAAAAGTAGAGTACAAAGAAGTTAGCTGGGAACAGCTAGTTCTGTGAAGCTGCAGTGACTTCCACTGACAACATATTTGGTCTTAAACATCTTTGTTCCATTGCAATTAAAGAGTCAAATTTCAGATAGTACATTCTGATCAGTACATCCTCACACACATACATCTTTCTTCTGTAACAGCTGCTCTGAAAGTCCTTTCAGAATTCAGGCATTGCGCTACAGAAATACAGTTCCTCTATAGGACTGTATTTCTACACTGTGGGCTCAATCCTTCCCATTCTAAAATCCAGAAGGGAGTATGACCAAAACCGGTATAGCATTACACTCCCCCCATATGGATCTCAACCCATTGACTGCACTTTAAGAAATAACCTGAATTATGCCTCAGGTGTGTCAGGTAACAGTCCTAAAGCCTTCCCACTACCACAAAACAGAAACCACATGCAGAGCAAAGCAATCAGAAAACACCTTGTCTGGAACCATGCCGGACTTTGAAAAGCACTGCTCCTAAATATGCTATGGATAAAAAGCTTGATAAATGCATTTTAACTCAGCCATTTTTAAATACAGCATATTTTCATGACTTGGAAACATAACCAATTGAAATTCTGCTTCTAGCTTCCCCTATGTCAAGGCAGCTTCTTTGCAAGAACTCCAAAAAGATAGGTGTGGAAATGGTTTTCTTGCACCTATACAACTGAAATTTTAATATTCCTGAATTTTTGCAAAAACTACAGGCACCGATGTAGCTAATGACTAGCAATTATTACTCTTTCAGCAGTCTCATCTTCCTCATTCATAGCCTGTGAGTGCACTTTCTCACAGGCTATGAATTATTAAAGGATGAGCTGCTTGCAGCCTCTTAGAATCATAGAATCATTAGGTTGGAAAAGACGCCCAAGATCATCAAGTCCAACCGCCAACCCAACCCCACCATGCCCACTAAACCATGTCCTGGATTCCCACATCTACACGTTTTCTGAACACCTCTGTGGATGGTGACTCCACCATCTCCCTGGGCAGC